ACATATCCACAAGATAAACAAAACATTAACATGAGATAATACTCCTCTTTCACTTAATCAACTCTATATGTCTAATCCCAAACTAGCTAGGATTGAGTAATTCATGTTAGTTATGCTTGATAATAGTAGCAAGATTTAGAATAGATGTTGACCTCAGTCTCGAATTCCAAGCAAGGAACCCATCCATTTTTCAAAAGGTACTCAACTTCCCTAAGCAATTGCTCCTCGCTCAAATCAGGAAGGTATGAGAGTGTCTCGTACTTCTTCTTGTTAATTGGTGGCCACACCTACATATATCCCACATAAATAATTTAAACAAGCTCCATAAACTTAGTGACATATACTGATAGTGCAAAAGTTCTTTATAGTACTATCAGTATATTGCAAGTTAAATCCATATAATATATACTACAAATTAAACCTGCATGCATTGAACTCTTCCACCATTGCTAGCAATGGAAGTAATGTCAAGATTTTGTTTCCTGGAAACTGGGAAAGAGGACGCGGATTTGAGGCCAGTGAAGGGTGCAACCATGCTGGCTTGAGCAGCATTGGCGCCGGTCGCAACAGCAGCTGCTGAGGACATAACTGAGGAAGCCATTTCTTAAAAGTAATTTCTTAGCTTAAAGCTATTGCTACCCTTGACCTTTGCTTTCAAGAGGGTTATTTGATATGTACCTCCCCTGATATATATAATGATAAGGTTTCACGTAGCTTCCCCATCTAACGGACACAAAACAAGCTAACCTCATCTTAGTCTAATGGTAACCATTGGATTATGTGGTTCTTGACATTACATAATTAATGACCATATGAAGGGTAGCAACTGGGAGATGTTCTTTTTTCTTTGGTTGAGTTAAGCTATTTCCATAAGCCATAATAAGGGCTGACGCGGGGCAGAAGCTCATTAATCTTATCTCATCCGAAATGGGGTAAGCAATAGGATATGAATGTGTAAAAATGGTTGGTTAATTTCTCTTTTTGGGTCAGTACTGTTTTATTTGTTTTTTGTCATCTGCATTAGCTGTTACTTGCAGTCGTTTTGCTTGGATGTAGAGACCATTCCTTTGTACAGACGATTCATACTTTTTTGTTTGGATGCTAATCATTTTCATTTTTGTCCATTCACATACATATATACCTATCTTTTTTTGCAAATTTTGATGATCTCAAGTTCCAAATCAAATCTTCCTTGCGTTGTCCTCAACTGTTGGTCGAGTAATCACTATTCCCTTGCAACTTGGAAATTTTCTTATCCCTATTGGTCCTTACTTCTATAACGCGTCCTATTTTCAGAAATTGATAGCCCAAGTCTTTTCTCTATGAAACTAGAAGTAATATTGGTAAATGGCTCGCCGGAGAACTAAAATAAAAAAATGGGTATTACTTCCTTTCCCATATCTCTTTACCCTGTAGCATATAATGCAAGATAGTGTAGACTTTGTAAATAAATTTCCAGCCAGCATGACAAAACTGCATTCTGTTCTCTTTCATAGAGCCACCTTATCTTTGTCAAGTGGCTTTAATATCTTGTTGAATGGACAAGTTTGTAATTTCAACTCATGGCATTGAAAAGATATTTTCTCTAGTGTTTCACCCTCTACCATGAAACTTGTGACCTACCTGACTTTATTCATTTTACACTGCAATAGCTGTATTACGTCCGTGTTCATATCCATTATTGACTTCTCAAAGAAAAAGTATTACGTAAATGATAAGCAAAATCATTTTCTTGCCGGAATTGCATAAAATAGCAGTATTGTCACGACCCAAAATCCATAAAGGTCGTGATGGCGCCGGACTCCATTGTCAGGCAAGCCAACAATAAAAACTTAATTAGGTTCTCATTTTGTTACTTTTGAAATCATATTTTCCTTCAATTAAATAGCAAAAGATGGAGTTTACAAAGTAAATAATAATATTTTCAACAATTTCAATACAAGACAACCCATAATCACCTCAAAACCCGGTGTCACAAGTGCATGATCATCAACTGGGAAAATAAAATAAAATACAACATCTGTCGAGAATACAAATTAGACAGGAAAATACATAAGTAACTTTGAAAGGGACTCTACTGGCTGCGGATCGTAGATGAGAATGTAGCTCACCCAAGTCTCCGCATTTAACCACACCTCTGCGCCCACCAGGCTGCTAGTCATATATGCACCTGCACAAAAATGTGCAGCAAGTGTAGTATGAATACGTAAATCAACGTGTACCCAGTAAGTATCCCGCCTAACCCCGAAAAAGTTGTGACGAGGGGTCGACTTCGACACTTACTAGTGGTCAAAAAAATATATCAGGTACAGTAAAGAAGTGAATGAATATGAGACAGAGTAAATATATGAAACAAACAAGTATAAAATAAGTAGTACAATTTTCCTCTTTACAATTTACTCAAGCTCTCAACTAGCAATTTTCCTCTGTAACCGGAGCATATATATAGATATAGTGGATTTCATCAAAGAGGTTGTCATAATCCAAATCAGGGAAAAACCCTCAGATACACTGGCTTCTTGCCAAACGTTACGCACGATTCCATGAGGATAACATATATATAGGAAATGCTGAGGCGTACGGCCCGATCCAACATAAAAGTAAATTGTGCACTGCCGAGGGTCGAACGACGCGAACCATAGATGCATCTATTAACCTGCTGAGATGAACGACCTTCTCCCATGAGAGTGTGGTACATAAATCCTGCCGAGGCGAACGGCCCGATCCAATAAGAGTGGTAGAAGGAAATACCCCGCTCGCGAATCATACGTGCGGCGTGGTCAAATATAAATATAAGGAATCTCCCCACTCGCGGATCATACTTGCGACGCGGTCAAATATAAATTTAACATTAAAATCAGATCTCTTTCTTGATTCTTTTCAAAAATAAGGAAAATTCAGCTTGTAGCTTTTTAAGAAAATTACCCCGCTCGCGAAACATACATGCGACGCGGTTACACATAGATTTCTTAAGCTATTATAGTATTACTCAATCCTTTTCGAAATTATAAAGTTCAAACGAAACCTTTTAAATCTTACGTTCTTCAATTTCAACTCCTTTCAAAATATTTAATAAGTAAACTCAATCTTGCTCCCTCTCAAGGCAGACAATAAACATAAATCAATGACAATATCAACAAGGCATGATGTAAGCCTAAAACTACCCGGACATAGGTATAACTAGTAGCTACGTATGGACTCTCGTCACCTCATGCGTACGGAGCCCCGAAAATAGAAGCACACAATAATTTAGTTCACCTATGAGGTTAATTCCCTCTTACAAGGTTAGAAAGGAGACGTACCTCGCTCCGAAGTTTCATAACCGGCTCCCAAGCCATTCAATCAACTCAAATCGATGCCCAACGCTCCAAAACTAGTCAATAAATGATCAAATCCATAAATATATACTCTAATACTCATTATAATCCTATTTATAACAATTTCTAACTCCGCTCGAAAAGTCGATAAAAAAATTACCCTCAAGCCCACGTGCCCGGATTCCGAATATTTTCGAAGATAAACTTCACCCATAACCTTATGAACTCAAATATATGACTTATGTCCAATCCCATGCTCAAATTCGTGGTAAAAATCCAAAAATACCAAGCTCTAGGTTTTCTACCAAAACCTCACAATTTCTACTAATTTCCATGTCTACATCCATATAGAACCAATGTGTTTAACTTGAAATAGGTGGTAATTAACTTACCTCCAAGCTTCTAAGTGAATGCTCCTCTCAAGAAGCTCCAAAGATCGTCCAAGAATGAAGAAATGAGCAAAAATGCTCAAATCCCCGCTTTAAACACTCACTGCCCAGCGATCATATCGCACCCGCGGCAAAATCCTTCGCGCCTGCGGTGTCCGCGCCTGCGATAGATTTCTCGTACTTGCGGCTTCGAACCTGAGGCAAAATTCTTCGCACCTGCGGCTTCGTACCCGTGATGGATTTTTCGCACCTCCGGCTTCGCACCCGCGACCCTTTTTGCGCAGGTGCGATCACACCAGATATCAGCTGCCTCAACTCTTTTTCAAATTCCAAATTCGATGCGTTAACCACTCGAAATCCACCCGGGGGGCTCGGGACCTTAACCAATTATACCAACACGTCCCAAAACACGTTACGAACTTAGTCAAGCCTTCAAATCACATCAAACAATGTCGCATTCATAAATCGCACCCCATTCCAAGCCTAATGAACTTTAGAATTTCAAACTTCTACATCCGATGCCGGAACTTATCAAACTGCGTCTGATTGATCTCAAATTTTGCACACAATTCATAATTGACATTACAGACCTACTCCAACTTCCGAAATTGGAATCTTATCCCGATATCAAAAAAGTCCACTCCCGGTCAAACTTCTCAAAAACCTTCAAATTTCTAACTTTAGCCAAATGACTCCAAAATGACCTACGGACCTCCAAATCCACTTCCGGGCGCGCTCCCAATACCAAAATCACCATACAGAGCTATCTCGAGACTCGAAATTCCAAACGGACATTGATAACATCGAAATGCACTTCAACCCAAATTTATGGAATTCTTCCAAAATGCTAACTTCCACAATAGGTGTTGAAACGCTCCTGGGGCATCCAAAACCCGATCCGAACATATGCTCAAGTCTGAAATTATCATACAAACCTGCTGGACCCTTCAAATCCCAATTCTGAGGCCATTTACTCTAAAATCCAATCTTAGTTAATTCTTTCAACTTAAGGCTTTCGAAATGAGAATTTTCTTTTCAAATCAACTCCGAACTTCCCAAAATTAAATTTCGACCACGCGTATAAGTTATAATACCTGAATTGAAACTACTCAAGGCCTCAAACCGCCGAACGACGCGCTGGTGCTCAAAACGATCGGTCGGGTCGTTACATTCTCTCCCACTTAAACATACGTTCGTCCTCGAACGTGCTAAGAACTGCTCTGTGGTTGTCTGAAATCACTGTCTAATACCTCGTACACTTACCAGTGCTGCCACAACTCAGTTGAGCACACTAGATCGAGCCAGTCTGAAGATTCTCCCCTTTTACTTAGCCAAATAAGCCTTAGAGTCCAACATCCGGAATTCTCTGCCAGGCATGTTCCCCTCATACGAACACTGTATCAATCACTACACGATGCACCGATACATGATTGCATACCTTTGCTGAACTCACACTATGCACTGCATAACTTACATGACCATAATAACATCCTCTGATAACAATAGTCAAAATTCTACGAATCTGATGCTCACAATGCACCTCATGACATATATAAGTCTTGTTCCAACTCTTGCAATACCGCCACGACGGAAGAGATGTGTAGAAATTCATAACCAACTGCAGAGTCAATAAATCACTGAATCTCTCCCTTTGACTAGAATCATCACCCCATTATGAACCAAATAATGGTATTTGCTCTTTAATATACTTCATATAATCTGATCGCACTGATCCCAGATCCAAAAATCTCGTCTCACCCAGTATAAGTTTCTCAGGTAACAAGCCACCACAGACATGACCAAAAGTCTCATATGATGCCGCAATGTGCCAATAAGCTACAAACTCGACGTGATACATGAGGAAAATGAACTCTAGAAAGAACTACTCAACCCACGTAACTAACTAGACAACTGAAAAGGTGTTACGAACCTTCCTCAGAAAATGGAAAATAAAACACACAAAA